ATACAGTATCATCTATACTAATAAAAGCCTAGGTGACCCTTGTGTGTGACTTTCTCATAAGATGGCCGCCACAAGATCGCTATGAGCACAGCATAGATGTGGACCGACAGCACGAGGCCTAGGGTCCCATGACTTTTCACAGAGTGGAGGAGGCTGGTCCCAACGTCTCTGCCACCTCACTCGGAGGAGGCAGGTCCTGGTGGAGGAGGCGGGTTGCGGCAGGAAGGGCATTTGGGGGCCATGAGGCTGGCAAGGGAGGGCAGATGGGGGGCCATGAGGCCATCAGGGGAGGGCAGTTGGGGGTGATCTGGCAGGCTGGTGAGTGGTTAGGAGCCAGCAGTCTAAGATTGTCAGAAGGATGTCCCACTGCTGGTTAGGCCCGATCCCACAGGGCCTATACCGGCAGTTGGACATCATCCAAGGGGTCCCAGATTGGAGAGGGTGCAGGCTGGGCTGAGGGACACCCCTCCAGTGCATGAATTTTGTGCACTGGGCCTCTAGTATTATATAAAATACCTTTATCATTTCCTAAACACTGTTACATGGTATTTCTTCATGGCTTTTCTGTTAACTGTGATGAAACTGTGTAAAAAACAGAGAGAATTATTGTTCTAATAGGGAAAAATAAAAGCACAGAAAGTCATAATTGACTTGCTTCTGGGTACTGTTCATTTGGTTCTGATTCTGGGTATGATTCTGATGTTATGATCCTAACTACCTAAGACCTATTTCCAAGGCAGGTAGTCCTCATTTTATTATTTACTGCTTGGTAATCTTCTGAGTAATGTGTAGACTTGCTTGCTTATTCAAATACTGGGAGAAGATACTTTCCATTCTTCATTCTTTCCCAAATGGAAACTTTTCTCTGCAGAGCTTTATGGTCTTGACTGACTCTTGGCTCTTTTAAAGAACTGGTATCTTTGATGTTTGGGATAGGGGGAGGGTGGTCACAATTACTGAGCGCCCTCCAGGAATTAGACTGTTAGTGTAAATTTGGCAGCAAAGATTAATGACAGATGAAGATGTTATCAGCACAACAAAGTCAAACAAAATAAGACCAACTCTTCTTGTCAGCCAAAGTCTTCAAGTTGTCATAAAAATAAAATAGAAATCCCCTTCTTATAAATCTAGAAGTAGAAATTGAAAATATTTCTTTTTAAAAAAATATATTTTATTGATATTTTACAGAGAGGAGGAAGAGAGAGAGATAGAGAGCTAGAAATGTCGATGAGAGAGAAACATCAACCAGCTGCCTTTTGCACACCCCCTACCAGGGATGTGCCTGCAAGCAAGGTACATGCCCTTGACCAGAATAGAACCTGGGAGCTTTCAGTCTGCAGACTGATGCTCTACAACTGAGCCAAACCAGTTTCGGCTGAAAATATTTCTTAATGATGGACAAGGACTGTTATATTCTTATTTTTTACATAAGATTGACTGCTTTCCCTGTTTTATTTTTCCATGGAAATCATTTTTCAAACTGTTTGCTGGGAGGGGTTTCACTATCAGCTGCTGTGCAAACCAGTTTAAAGTTTATTTGGTGTCTAGAGCATTAAAATGTGACAACTGGAAATTAAAATGTCAGGAGCCAGAGGAAGCTTATGGCTTTTCTTTTTCAGTTCAGTGTTCTGTTATTTTTGGCTACTATTTATCCTCTCTCTAAATTTCAGATTAGGTGAGTTTCAATGGATAGTAGATTTTCAGGCTTCTCATTGATATAATTTCTCACACAATAGATGTTCTAATGCTGGGTCAATGAACTATTAATCTTTGAAAAATAACTCATGTTACTCATATTAATTAGAAATGACTCTATTCATCAAATTTTTACAAAAATATCAACTACTTTAAATTCTGAAACTTTAGTGTATTAACTTTGTTTAAAGTTACAAATCTGTAAAGTTGCTATTTCCTTTTCCTGTTATTACAAATTACAGACTGATTTTAGTGTTTGAAAAGAACAGTGATTATTTCAGTCTTGTTTTTTAGGGATGATAAAGCTCAGAGAGGTTGAGAGTCTTCTCAAAGTAATATTACTAATTGATAGCAGTGCAGACATAGGGCTGTATCTTTCATAATATTTTCTAATTTTCTGTATCTGCTTTTAACAAGTATAAAATGACAAGAAGTAATTGATATATATCTATTAATATATTCTATTTCTATCTTAATCTGCAGTTAAGAGTATGAAATCTGTTAACCCAAACCAGTGAAGATAAGATCTTTTGGATATATTTTTTTTCCAATAAGCTTAGTCATACTTAATAAACACATCAGTTGATACCTATAAATGAGATGTCAGCACAATGTTTATTTTAAAATATTACTCATTGAATCATATGCATGGCATTTCTTCCAGTGTGTTCTTGCTTTGGTAATTTGCTTAGTTCTTAAATACAGGTAAAGGTAGTTACTTTTTTCTCATCTAGGACATGGTTATTTAAAAACTTCAAAGTTTCTTATTCCTATCTTGTTCAATGCAGGCCCATTATCTATGTCATATGTAATGCTCTAAATTTTCCTACATAGTGAATGCGACACATCTCATGTGGACAATGTTAATCCTTTAGGTTTAGAAAGCAAGGAACAAGTTAATGAGATATATTTTTTTCTTTTATAAACTTTGCCAGTTATCAAAAGCAAAATTAAAAAATGTATTTATCAGTTATAGTTAACAAAACACATAAGCTAGAAATGGACATCCTGAGTGAGAACCAATAATCCATTTAGATAAGTATTAGTAATACTGTTATAATTAGCTAGTTATTAATAATATAAAAGGAGCAAAGGGAAGGCCAGACATTATAGGGATGGCATTTGGGAAACTTCATCAGGAAGCCTCAATTTCACACTTTCTAGGTCACTGCAGGGGTGGGTGTGTTGGGGGAGAAGGGGTCTAATTAAGGGAAGACAGAGGCATGCCCGTAAAGTTGGGATGACATTGGGAAGATACTTGCCTGACAGTCACACCTGGGGACAGAGATGATTGTCAAGAATGGACATGGTCACTGCAAACAGACAAAGATTTGGGAATACATAATCCCTTAAACAAATGAGTTCACTCTCTTGGGCTCTTGTAGCTCTTGTGCTCTTGGCTCATGGGGCTCTATTGTTCTGCTGCTGCCTGTGTTTTCTCTATAGCCGTGTGGCCCTGTGGGTCCCTCATACTATATAATGGACTAAGGGGCTGCAGTGGCAGAACACAAGCTAAGCTAGCCTGATGGTGGACTGGACCCAACCCAACATGGAAAGGAAACTCTGGACCCTGGCTCTGATTTTAGCTCTACTGAAGCCGCAGCTCACTTCTTCTATGACTGCACTAAGGGAAATAGAACTTTGGAAACCCAGGGATATAATTCCACAGGAATAAAACTTTTACTATATCATATCCTCCTGTGGGGGCCTCCAGAAATGCTTATTCCAGTGGTACTCCAAAAACCCCACTTTTATTAGCAAATGAGGGGAAAGAGGCCTTATCCCACCCTGTAACGTTATGTGCAGCAAATGCCTTGGGAGACAAGTCTTGGGAGGACAGAGTTTTGTTTTTAATATGAATTTTAAAGGTTAACTATATCTAGTTAGTCCTAGTAGAAATTCATGATTTTATTATTCATAAATATAACCAACCATTTAAAAATAAAATTCATTTTTATTTCCTGTTTCATCATATTTCTGGATAAAGAACTTTAAAACTTGATCACCTGCTTTATTAACTAATGCTTTACTTTAATTGTTAAAACCCTACATATTTTGGATTTAGTCTATCTTTTTCTAAATAATATAAAATTACCATGAAATATTTTGTTTGTTCTGAAAGGGCAATGAAGTTTTATTATGTGGGTTATATTTATAAATGAAAGAAGAAGCGAAGGAAGAGGAGGAGAAGGAGGAGGAGGAGGAGGAAGAGGAAGAGGAGGAGGAGGAGGAGGGGAGGAGGAGGAGGAGGGGGAGGAGAAGAAGAAGGAGAAAAAGAAGAGAAAAAGAAGAGGAGAAGAAGGAGAAGAAAGTTTTAAATTATTATGAAACTAAGCAGATTCAGGACATTATCTGTAATACCTAGAGCAGATTAAGCAATTTTCTTCAGTAATACCTGGCTTTCTGTCCTGTGTACAAATGGGTTTGTTCTTGAAGCAAGGCCAATTGAAATCTTAAAATTGACAGATTCATCTTTTTTCTCTACTTCAGTTCCTTCCACATCTAAGTTCCAGTGATGTGTCCAGCACTATGAGAGGTCCCAGGATACAGCAGTGATCAATACATGATTTCTAACTTCAAGGCTCTAAAGAACTCGCTATCTGTGTTGGAAAAAAAGAAACTTATATAGCCATTAATGTGATAAATATGATACTAATATAAACAGAGCTAATTATGAGCACAGAGGAGGAAATGTTGCATTTTAGGAAGACATTATAGAGCCTTAAAATGATGAGAAGGTATTCACCTTGGTAGTTCAGCTCATTCACTTAACCATTCAACAAGTAATGTTGAGCCCCTCCTTTTGTGATGGCTTCTAAATTTGGTATTGGGCTTGCAATGGAGATCAAAGACCAGCATCATCCTTTTCTCGCAGGGACATATCGTGAAATTTCATTGATTAAATGTTGTAGAATTGCGCACCTGAGACCTATATAATATTGTTAACCAGTGTCACTCCAATAAATTCAATATAAAGGAGAAAGAACAAACATAATACCTAAAAATAGATAGAAGTTTGTGCTGCTTCATAAGTTATGAAATAGGTATACATGTTGCTTCTACTCCTATAATAGGTCAAATTTCAACTTGTTTCTAGCTTTTTGTTACCTTCTATTTTTCTTAATTCATACTTACTTTTTATACTATGAAGAATTCTTGACATCGCTGTTCCCTATCACTCCGACCCCTCACTAAAACTTAAACTGATCACTTTAAAAATATATATTTTATTGATTTTTTACAGAGAGGAAGAAAGAGGGATAGAGTTAGAAACATTGATGAGAGAGAATCATCAATCAGCTGCCTCTTGCACACCCCCTACAGGGGATGTGCCTGCAACCAAGGTACATGCTTTTGACCAGAATCGAACCTGGGACCCTTGAGTCCGCAGGCTGACGCTCTACCCACTGAGCCAAACCAGTTTCGGCTTAACTGGTCATTTTTATGTGGCTGCATTATTTGTCTGTGACTTGTACCTTTGTATATCCACACTCAGTTTTACATACTTTTGGCTTCTGCTTTTCATGCCTTGACTGAGCCCATCAATCACACATAGTGACCTCCTGGGTCTTCTGAGCCTCGGCACAGGAGCCATGCCAGCTGAGACATGCAAGTGCGTGATTAGATTGTCACTGATGTTTGACATTGTACAGTCTATGTTTAATAACCTTAGGCAAGCAGTTGTTCCCTTCCAAAATGTCAAATATATTTACATATGTTAAGCTTATCAAAAATTATCACCTTAATGCCGCTTCATTTCCCCTTTGCAAATGAAAGCTAGCCAACTGTATCTTCTCAGGAGTCAGCATGCAGAAATCAAATTTTTATTAAGGTAGGAGTCAGAGAGGATTCCTGAGCCTTGACTCTATCACTTACCTGATAACTTAATGTCCTTATTGGTAAAATTAAAAAAAAAATGCTAGTAATTATTACACCTACTTTTTAGAAGATTGAGATAAAATTAAATCATATATATTGTCATGGAGTTATGGTCATATATATATATTGTCATGGAGAGATGGTTGTCATGGAGTTATGGTCATATATATTGTCATGGAGAGATAGTTGCTTAAGCAACCATCTGACCAGCTCACTGGCCCACTGGCCAGCCAGCCAATAGGCTATGATGTGCATTGACCACCAGGGAGAGGAAACTACAGGCATTGGAAACATGGAACGGACTGATGAATCTCAGAGGGAAGGGAAGTGGGAGGAGGGTGGGAAGAGATTAACCAAAGATCTTACATGCATATTAGAGGACTGTGGGGCCCCTTGGCCTGGCCTGTGGGGATAGAGTGAAACTGGCTCTCTAACATCCCCCGAGGGGTCCCGGATTGAAAAAGGCATCGGCCAGGCTAAGGGACCCCACTGATGCATGAATCCATGCACTGGGCCTGTAGTAATTAATCACTATCTGTAAGCTGAAAGTAATTTTATTATTGTAGGGGGTTTAAGAGATTTGGGGTCAGATCAAGGGATAAGATGTATGACCGGGAGGTGACAGGAACCTATACTGGCTGGATTGGGTTATGCTTTGACAGGTTTGCATGTGGGGAAATCTCTCAGAGTAGGAGTCTGTCCAGAGGCTATTGAGGGGTTCACATGTTTAGGGCATCTGGGGATGTTGTTCAGCAGAAAGTATTTGAGTCAGAAAGCTCTGAAAAACAGTCGAAAGTTTGGAGTCTTTTAATCGTATATTTACCTTATCTCAGCTGGCAGGCATTAGGTGAGGTTTCTGGGGGTTTACAAAGCAGGCAATTTCTATTTTGACTAAAAATCTGCTTGTTTGAGTATTTTTAAAAGAACTGAATGCCTAAAAGTTTGAGTTTGACAGTGGAGGAATTTTGAACTAACAGGTCTCAGCCTGCAATAAAGAATAACCAATTTTGGCTTAAGGACCAAAACACAGAGGCCATCTTTTGGCTCACTTATATAACAATTAGTGGCCTAGTGCCCCAAATTTGTGTACATTAAAAGAGAATTAGAGCAAATATTTTAATATTTCTATTTGCCCTTTCTCTATAATAGAAGTGTCAGAGCTGAAAGAAAATTAGTAAAATGTATATTAAAATCTCCCTCCTGTCAGAGTCTGGGGCGTACTGCAGGACCCAGAGTCAAGTCCCTGCCCACCCACACATGCCTGGAAATTGCACGAGACTCAGACCTGGCTGGACCCTGCCCCCTCAAATCCCGCTTGGTAGGGGATGCGGCCTCAGGTCCCCCATCAAGCTCTGCCATGTGGAGATCCCAGGATGCAGTCTCAGGTCCCCTGTTAAGGCCCACAGGGCAAGGGGCAAAGCCTCCTGCGGATCACACGTAATGACCATTTGCATATTAGCCTTTTATTATTAAGAATAGAGGCCCATTGCACAAAGAGATTCATGCAATAGGCCTTCCTTCCCTTGGCTTCCAGCACCAGTTTTCCTCCTGCACCCAGAACCCAGGCCTTCGCTCTGGCCGGAGTCTGCCACCTTTGCTCATCTGGTATAACTGAGTCTTGCATGGTTAGAGACAGGTAGATGAGACATCTAGCTCAGATATCTGATGAAGCTTAGTTCTGACTGTAAACTTATCCCATGCCTGGGTTCTTCACTATATGCCATGTCCTGGAATGAAACATTTAAGAAGGCTTCTTCATGAACATGTCTGGTCTGTGTCCATCTGTCTGTCTGTCTCCCTCCCTGTAATTATTTTGGGATCCTCACAAAATGGTGGCTTCAAGGCGGTAGGGCTTCTTAGGAGGCGTCTGTCTTCCCCCAGAGCAAGAATTTCAAGAGATCTTGGTATAAATTATAGGGCTTCTTATGGTCTAACCTTGGAAATAGAAACAATTATACTTCCTCTCATAGGTCAAAAGTAAGTTGCAGTGTCAGCCCATCCTTAGGTAAACTAAGCATATAAAGGACTGAATACTGGAAATTATGGTTCATTGAGGGGCAACATTTGGAGACTACTGCCACAATGATAATTTTCATGTTATAATTAACATGTTTTCTTAAATTTAATGTCAACAACTTAATAATTTGTTTTCCCCTTTTAAATAGTATATGATTTTCTAGCTCTAATAATGTACATGACAAACTATTTAATTTAATTTTTACTAAGATATCATTTATCATGAATTGAATTAAAATTTTACTTTGATCTTGAATTGAATCAGATAGCTCTATACCCACAGAATAAATGTTGAGAAAATATCTGAATATTTAAGTAACTAAGTACTTTAATTAAGACTTGTTTTTCTTAATTTTAAGTTCAATATTTTGTAATGAGTACAATTGCCTTCAAAGAATAGGTAATATGTAAAAATAACCAGAATATCCCAAAGGGATTTCTATTTGCAATGAGAATTGTATTGCTTGCTGAATAAACATAAAATGGGATTGGAGAAATCATTAAGAATTCCTTAGAATAGAAATTATTTGGAATTGAGAATTGATTGTTTCTATTGTGTTTGCTATTATTAATTTATTTTATATCTATTTTTAATTATTTTATCCATGGGTTTTATTTCCATGATTTTATTAAATGTAAAATTATTAGATTGGAAAATATTAACATCACAATTTATTAGAGTTGCTGAAAATTTTCTTTCACCTTGATATGTAAGGACATGCTTACCACAGACATATAAAAAAGATAACCAAGTGAACTAGAATGAATAAGAAGTAAATTTAAATGAGTTCTAGAAAAATGAAATGAGAAATTTTGTGACTATTTGTTATGTTTAAATAAGCAAACTCAAATCTGGCTTCTAGATATTTACATATTAATTTACCATGTGTTAATTTAGTACCACAAAAATACCCTAGGTCATTTTAAAGACACAGTACAAAAAAATACAAAAAAAACCCACAATACAATAAAAATAAAACAGGATATACAATAAGTAGTGCTCTGGCACACATAAACAGATTTGGCATGACATTTAGTAGAATTTAGTTAAGAATTAACTATATGTTGCAGAACCATCAATAATATTGTCTTAAGAACTATTCCCTTGCTAATTTGGGCAAGCAAACTGAGACTAATCTGCAGAAGAAGCAGAATTTAATGCTAACTCTCAGAATAATGGGAGCAACCAAGGAAGACCCCATGTTCATATTAATTTGCCTGGAGATATACAACTGGCATTAGAATTTGAAAATGCAACTTACTATATGAATCTACTTATGTAATCCTGACTTGGATATTTACCAGGATTGCCCAAAAGTGCATGTGTGTGTGTATGTGTGCACATGTACATATGTGTATGTATTTATGTGCACGTGTGATCACAAAAATATCAGCAAAAATAGTAAAAGAGATAGAATTAAATTACATGTAAAGAAGCTGTAATATGGGAGAAACTTAGAAAGAAAGATTTAGATTTGAGTTTATGCTCTACAACTTGCTGACAAGGGTTCTTAGATATACTATATAATTTCTTCAAGTTTTGTTTCTTTATCTCTAAAATGAGGATAATCAATTAGAGAGTTTTGATGAGTATTCAGTAAATAAGGAAAGAGCCTTTTTTTTTTTTTTTTTTTTTTTAACTCTAAAGCCCCAATAAAATTTTCTGATACAGAATTCAATTTAAACTTCCATCTGCCATATATAGAACAGTGGTGATATTTATAGTTGCTAAGAAACTGAGTTTGCATTAACATGTTAACACAAAAAACATCAGTGTATCAGCCAATTTCCTTCTGTTACTGAGGGTTTATAATACTGGTTTCTACCAGAAGAATACCTAGTAGAAAAGCTGAGGGAAATGCCTTTATTTTCTAAATGTATTTAGCTGTTATCTTAATAAAGTTGTTATTGCATTGGGTTATTTGCTTTGATTCAGGTTGCTGGGAGTTTCCATTATGAAAATTTAGTTCCTACACAAAATACTTTGTATGGCAGTTGCTTTTCTAATTTAAAAGTTTATCTCATTTTAATACCCCTTCCCAAGCTTCAGGTTTTTTTTTCTTTTAATAACTTTACTCATTTGCAGTTTGTTACTTAAACCAACAGCTGGGATTAGAATGCCAAATAAGAATGACTCAGGTGTTCTTTTGATCTGGACAAGAGGTATACCACCCAATTTCTCTAGAGATCTGCTAAATTTATTAAAGTACAACTTATGAAGTTACTTGGCTAATATGTCCGCAAAAACACAAATAAATTAATATTGAACTCAAAGTCTGGAATTTCTTTTTCCCAGAGACAAAAGAGAAATAAAAATCATGATGCAATTTGTTCTTCCCAAGAGCAAGGAAATACATTACTTTGTAAATCTGTTTCCAATGAAACTTTAATTGCTTTATTTTCTTATTGATTATGGATTAGTAAAAAATTATCTGCACACACTTCTAGACAAAGGAATGTAAAATGAGTAGGAATTAGAATTTTTGGATAGAACTTTAACAATTTGATGTTTTTTAGACTTATTTTAAACTTCACAGCCATCTCCTCTAGTGAAAGTATTGGAATTATGGAAACAAAGATGCTGCTTGCACTTTAATATAACACGGAGGATCTTATTACAAAATGCTGACTGTAGTCTGGAATTAGGGACCAATATTCTGCCTTTTAACTAGCTCCCAGTGGGTGGGTGCTAAAGCCTGCAGATCCATGAGCCACATGTGAGAAGCCAGGATGCAGTCGGTTCTAAACTTAGCTGAACATTGGACCCAACAGGGAACTTTTAAAAATGCTGATGCCTGATCTCTCCCTGCCCCCACTTGGGATTCTGATTTAATTGATGTGGATGATTCCTGGGTATTAGGATATTAAAAGCTCCTCAGGATATTCAAAATTGGAG